TTCTTTCTTTAGCTTCTGAAGAAAAATATCTGCATCCTCGGGAGATTCAGAATCAGAAAATCATACGTGGAACATTTCCTGGCAAGGTTTAGCTTTGCCTACAAGGAGAACATTACGAACGGGCGAGGGGGAGGGGTATTTTTGTAACCACAGCAGGTTCTACACCTTATTCTCGATTTTTTCAGGCGGGCATAGGGTTCGCGAACATAAAGCCGTATGATTTCGTAAATATTCTTTCGCTGCCAGGAGAACATGATATAGACGAAGGTTTCTCACTTCATTCTGACTTTGATATCAGCATGGTACGTTGCGCGCGAGATTTTTCTATGTATAACAGGAGAACGTTTTGGATATTTTTTTGCTACCAGGAGATCAGAATTAATTTCTTCAATGAAATTTTTAATGTTTGTATCAGGAGAATATGATGTGCACGGAGGTGTATCTGCATGTCATACACGAAGTAACTGTCCGCATATTTTTCTACTACCAGGAAAGCATAAACTGAGTTACAGTTCTGTTGGAAGTGTTTCCTTCCATTATACACGGAGTATGTATGTCACCAATTAAGAAATCTAGTAATCAAACTTGTATATTACAGTAATGGTGGGCCGACTTTCTTTATACACACGGGTATTGATAGTGATCGTTGACCATCTCGGATATTGAATCTTCGTGAATGTTTAATTACATACTTTTAGTCTTCAAGCATGGTAGTTTTTCTGGTTTTCTATTAGGGCTACAGGTACCAAAGAGACAAAGGACAAATCACGTCTGTTATTCTTCACCCCAATCTCCTCATCGCAGGAAGGAGCAATATCCAATAAACCCAGTAATGCGCGACAATCCTTACAAGGAATGCCGATAATAAACAACGAGTCGAGTGCCGAAACGAAATATTGTCGCATTCATCATTTTCCGTTTACCTACCTGCTTCCATCAATTCTCCTCAAGCGAGGCGACGATTTATTGTGAGTACATGGATGAGAACGTAACGTTTTTATTTATTACAAGCGTCGTAAATTGCGCGCCGAACTTGTGTTGCCATTTTTTGAACGTAAAAAGCAGGCGCTGAAACGAAGGAATGGTGTATTAAAAAAGCAGAAGACGTTAACATCTCGTTCCTGCGTGTTTTACGGCGGGTGGCTAATAAAGATTTACAGACTTTTGTTGCCTTTGCGCTAGAAGTTTGTACCTAATCTGAATTCAAAGTCTTGGAAAGCGAGCGCGTGTTTACTAGCTTGCCTACAGCTTCATTAATGGGAATTCGTAGACTATTTCAAATACATGCCGGTCACAGATTTGTTAAACTATGAATTCAACATTTCTTAGATAATTGCTCTGCGCTCCTGATAGCAATGAAGTTGTAAAACTACAAATGCACTGTGAGAAACTCGCTCTTTTTCTCTCATCGTCGTTATACGCCCCTCACTTTTGCTCGGCGCATTATCATCTGGGCGGTTAATGGAAAACCGCCATTAGGGGCAAAGGGTTTTTTTTCAAACACCGATTTGTAAATCAATCCAATTCGCATTAACGACGTTTAACGAGAATGCGGCCGACCGTAAAAATGCACGAGGTACCTATTAAAATAGTTGCGCGCACTTTCATCTTTATAGTGCCACAACGCTTTTTACGTTTGAATAAATTATGAAACTACTTTGTATGGTAATGGGAATCTGCGCATGGATGGTCTAAAATGTGCGCGTTTCTGCATATGCGAATGCAGAATTGATATGTTCTGGTAGGCAAATTTTGTCTAAGGATATTTGTAACAGGAGCACAAACAGGAGGTGACTGATTTAACAAAGAAATTTTTCCTCTCTCTGAATCAGGAGCACAGAAGGTTGAATTGCAAGTAAATTGCATTGCCTTGGTATGTTATCCTGATACTTGCAAGTGATATTCGTAATTATTTTCTCTCGTATATTCTATGGAAAATAAATTTCCTCCTAAATTTACTGAATCAGGGGCGTAGGATGTCAATGCGTAGAGTTCTGATACGCTATGCTGATCTTTTCCAAGGAGCATCAAGAGCATGGGATAATGTGCGAGTGTATTTCTTCCTAATTGAGGTATACAGCATTGGCATGTTCTCCTGATACACAAGCATTCTTCAATATTCTTGTATCAGAAGCACAAGGCATATTCTGCCTAAAACAATTTTTTCTTAAAAGTTGCAGTATCAGGACTACAGAGAGCGGAAGGTTGCCTCTTCATTGATACGTACAAAAATCGTATGTTTGTCTGATACCCAAAGCTTCAGAGTGCTTTGCAGCAAGAGCGAGAATGCAAGGAGGAAGTTTCTGGAGTAACAAATACGTTCTGGAATACTCCATACAAGACAATTATCAAACATACAGTATCAAGAAAATAGAAGTGCAAGTAGGCGGAACCCGATGCACAAACCTCCTTCAGAAGTCTATGTAGCAGGAGCCCAGGATCGGTTTCTACATTAGCTAAAGGTGATGTACCAGGAGCGTAGAAGACCGAGGTGTAGGCAGATGCCTCATTTGTAGGTAACTACAATATTGGTATGTTTGCCAAATTTGATCTAGAAGCCCCTTCTAGCAGGAAAAGGGATTGATCAACAAATACCTCTCCTCGTATTCTCCGTCAAAAATATATATCGTATCAGGAGCGTAGAAGGTCGAGGTGTAGGCAGAAAAATTCTTTCAGTATTGATATATTGATATGTTCTCCTGGCAGGAAAATGTTATCTAGAAGCCTTTTGTAGTTAGTTTGTTACGTTTTCCTGATAGCTAAATTTTATCTAGAATCCTTTTGGAAGACCAACGAGTACTTCTTCGCATATTCACCATGGAATTTTACCCTAAACTTCTTTTATAAGGAGCGTAGAAGCCCCATACATTGATAAATATTTACATTGCCATGTTCTCCTGATAGAAAGAGTTTATATAGAAACCATATGCAGCAGGGAAACTGATTGATCAATGAAGGCTCCATGTAAAATATATTTCGTTTTAAATTTGCTGTATCAGGAGCGTAGATTGCCGACGTGCCGCCAATTTGTACTTTCGGTATGTTCTCCTGGTACCTAAATTTTCTCTAGAAGTCAATTGAAACCGTAATTTTTGAAACAAGGACTTCGAACTTAGCGACACTGTTCTGCACTATGATTAGTCTTGAAATCAATCTGAACGCTATTGTTTGAGTGCTTAGTACCGGAGGGTTTGGGGAGCAAAGATATCTCCTCGATGTATAGGAAGATTAAATTACATCTCCCGAACACCGGCCGGTGTGCCCTATGGGGGGGGGGGTCTAGTATTCCGTTCTAAGGTTCATGTATCAAGAGCGTAGAAGGCCGATGTATTGGCGTACGTTACGTTGATAGATGTTCGCAGTATTGCTATGTTCTCCTGGTGTAACTTAATCAGGAGTACATTGGAGGGCTGAGGTGCAAGTAAGTTTCATCTTAATTATGCGCACCCCCTTCTCCTGATACGTGCAAGAGTAAAAGTGATAGATCAATAAGTACATGCAGTCTTATTCTCTACGGAATGCAAATTTCGTTTTAATGTTGCTGTATCAGCAGCGTAAAAGGGCAATCTATTGGTGTACGATGCGTTGAATGATGTTTGCAGTATTGCTATGTTCTTCTGATTATTTAGAAACATTTTGCAGCAAGGAAAGTGGTTGAACGGCGAAGTCTCCATAAAAAATAGATTTCGTTTTATCTTTGCTGTATCAGAAGCGTAAATTGCAAATTGCTAGGGAGTTTGTGGTTTGGCGTGTTCTCCTGGTTGCTATACTTTAACTAGTAACCCTTTGCAAGACCAAGAAATACTTTCGCTATGGAAATTTGTCCCAAAGTTGATCGATGTTTGCAGTACTGCTGTTCTCCTGATAGACAATTTTGATTTAGAAACCATTTGCGACCGAGTAAGTGGTAGATCAACGAAGTCTCCATAAAATAAATTCGTTTTATGGTTGCCGTATCAGGATTGCAGATGATCGATGGCTTGAAAACCAGGAACTTGAGGAGTCCATCAGGCGCATACAATCAAGAAAGGCGACTAACAAATACTCTTCTCCTCTACTATACATGAGAAATAAATGTTAACCCAAACTTCATGTCCAACTCACTTTCTCTCATTTTGTCCGTTAAAATTTAATTTAGTCCTAGAACAGCTGTATCAGGGGCGCAGAAGGAGCGCAGATGCTTGCAATAGGTTTTCCTGGTAGCGAAACTGTATCTAGGTACCTTTTGCAATAGGAAAAGTAATTAGTCATCGAATACCTCTTGTCATACTCTCTTTGAAAATTAAATGTCGTGCTAAAGTTGATGTACTAGGAGCGCAGAAAGCCGAGGTGTTGACCGATATCTGTGGTATGTCCTCCTGATTGCCAAACTTTATCTAGAAACCTTTCGTGCCAGGGAAATAAACAGTTTGTTAATATGAGCATATCAGGAGCGTAGAAGAGACCTTCTTTAAGGACCTTTGTAACGGGAGAAGTGATTGAGTAACCAATACATGAAAAGTAAATATCAGGAAGGTAATAGGAGGCTGAGGTGTGGGCGGAGTAATTATATGTTCTCCTGGTTGCCACATTTGATCTAGGAACATTTTGTAACAGGAAACGTGATTGATCAAGATACTAAATTTCCTCTAACAGGAGTCCTTGTTTGTTTAATTCTGTTCTATACACTTAGCATTAAAAATTACGAAGTTTTACAAAAATAAAGCAAGACACGACGTTGTTAAACAGAACTAGGGCGTGCTTGTGGCGTTTTCCATCGATACATCTTTCGAAGTCATCGAAATAAAAGTGTTTCCTTGCGAAAATGAGAAATTGATTGCTTGTATGTGTATGAAGTTTGCCATTTCGGATGACGCGCGTTAGTCGTGATGGATCTATCGTCGTTCGCTATTGTGCATCCGTGCTCAAGAAAGTGTATTAGTAATTAGAGAATACCGTAATCGTATTAATTAGGAGCGTGGCCGATTCAATTTGTTCATCGAATTTTCTTTTTTTTGCAGATACTCGAAGGACTAATTGCGGACCCCGATGAGGGTAAGTACGTGATTTCTGCGCACTTTCTTAAAATTGCTGACATCGCTCTTGTTATTAGCGAGAGCAAAAGTCCTCGACTTTTTTTTGTCCATAGCAACGCCGGAAGAATTAATCCGGTTTATACAGAGACATTTTCGCGCCGTGTCTAATTAAGTGGAAGATTTCTTTTTTTATCTTTTCGCGCTTGAACGACGTCGCGCGACGTTAATTTTTTCCCATTCATCGGGCCGTATCCTAAAATTTTAATTAAATGCGTTCCATTTAGTGCTCGAACCTAAAACCGTTTCAAGAGACACGACAGGAGCAATCTAGTTATAATAGTCTTGTTTTTAATCGACCCCTTAAACTGTTACTTATTGAAATAGTCTCCTGCTGCTTGAGTATAAAGCTCATTAGGACGCTGAATTTGTACCTTCAATTTCATTTCTTGCTCGAATTATGGACTTCTTTGAATTTAGAACCTAATTTTCCCCCAGTAGGTATATACGAAGATCTTACACTAATTAAAGGAAGCATTGACTCATTCACGAAATGTGTTTCTCAGGGGTATTTCATACCCCCCAAACCACCCACTGCTACCATCTGGGCTAAAATAGTCTGCATCGCCGGTAATCCGCTATCATTTCAGTTCTCTGCATAGTGATATCGAACCTATCTCTGGGGGGGCATGGACCCCCTCCACGCCGTATATACGAAAGTCATACTGTAATTAAAGGAAATATTGAATCATCCTTGAAATTTGATTCTGGGGGGCCAAAACAGACAGCCTCGGCGCTCTCGTTTTCTGCATAACACTATCAAACCTAACACCGGAGGCCTACGTGGTACCGAATACCTTCCCGTATATACAAAAGTCTTACTGTAATTAAAAGAAACATTGAATCATTCATGGAATGCGTTTCTGGAGGGGTATTCCATACCCCCAGACCCCCCGGTGCTACATTCTCTTCCAAAGCACTCTGCCTCGGCGCTCTCGTTTCCGTTTTCTGCATAAAATTATCGAACCTATCACTGGGGAGTCTAGGGGATATGGAATACCTCCCACTATATACAAAAGTCTCTTGTAATTAAAGGAAACATGGAATCATTCATGAAATGTGTTTCTGGGGGGGGTATTCCAGACCCCCCGGTGTTATATTGACCACCAAAACATCCTGCCTCGCCCCTCTCGTTTCCGTTTTCTGCAGAACACTATCGAACCTATCACTGGGGGGTGTAGGGGGTATGGAATACCTTCCAGTATATACAAAAGTCTTACTGTAATTAAAGGAAACATGGAATCATTCATGGAAAGTGTTTCTGGGGGGTGTTCCATACCCCCCAGAACCCCCGGTGTTATATTGTCCACCAAAACATCCTGCCTCGCCCCTCTCGTTTCCGTTTTCTGCAGAAAACTATCGAACCTATCACTGAGGGGTGTAGGGGGTATGGAATACCTTCCAGTATATACAAAAGTCTTACTGTAATTAAAGGAAACATGGAATCATTCATGGAAAGTGTTTCTGGGGGGTGTTCCATACCCCCCAGAACCCCCGGTGTTATATTGTCCACCAAAACATCCTGCCTCGCCCCTCTCGTTTCCGTTTTCTGCAGAAAACTATCGAACCTATCACTGAGGGGTGTAGGGGGTATGGAATACCTTCCAGTATATACAAAAGTCTTACTGTAATTAAAGGAAACATGGAATCATTCATGGAAAGTGTTTCTGGGGGGGGGGGGTATTCCATACCCCACAGAATCCCCGGTGTTACATTCTCTACCAAAACAGTCTGCCTCGCTCCTCTCGTTTCCGTTTTCTGCATAACACCATCGAACCTATCACTGGGGGGTGTAGGGGGTATGGAATACCTTCCAGTATATACAAAAGACTTACTGTAACTAAAGGGAACATGGAATCATTCATGGAAAGTGTTTCTGGGGGGTATTCCATACCCTCCAGACCCCCCGGTGTTATATTGTCCACCAAAACAGTCTGCCGCGCTCCTCTCGTTTTCCGTTTTCTGCATAACACCATCGAACCTATCACTGGGGGGTCTAGGGGGTATGAAATACCTTCCAGTATATACAAAAGACTTACTGTAATTAAAGGAGACATGCAATGTGTTTCTGGGAATACCCCCAGACCCGCCGGTGTTATATTGTCCACTAAAACAGTCTGCCTCTCCCCTCTCGTTTCCGTTTTCTGCAGAACACTCGAACCTATCACTGGGGGGTCTAGGGGGTATGGAATACCTCCCAGTATATACAAAAGTCTCTTGTAATTAAAGGAAACATGTAATCATTCATTAAATGTGTTTCTGGGGGGGGGGGGGGTATTCCATACCCCCAGACCCCCCGGTGTTACACTGTCCACTAAAACAGTCTGCCTCTACCCTCTCGTTTCCGTTTTCTGCAGAACACTATCGAACCTATCACTGGGGAGTGTAGGGGGTATGGAATACCTTCCAGTATATACAAAAGTCTTACTGTAATTAAAGGAAACATGGAATCATTCATGGAAAGTGTTTCTGGGGGGTATTCCATACCCCACAGAACCCCCGGTGTTACATTCTCCACCAAAACAGTCTGCCTCGCTCCTCTCGTTTCCGTTTTCTGCATAACACCATCGAACCTGTCACTGGGGGGTCTAGAGGGTATGGAATACCTCCCAGTATATACAAAAGTGTTACTGTAATTCAAGGAAACATGGAATCATTCATGGAAAGTGTTTCTGGGGGTATTCCACATCCTCCACATCCCCCAGTGGTATATTGCCCACCAAAACAGTCTGCCTCGGCGCTCTCGTTTTCCGTTTTCTGCATAACACTATCGAAGCTATCACTGGGGGGCTAGGGGGTATGGAATACCTCCCAGTATATACAAAAGTCTCTTGTAATTAAAGGAAACATGGAATCATTCATTAAATGTGTTTCTGGGGGGTATTCCATACCCCCCAGACCCCCCGGTGTTATATTGTCCACAAAACAGTCTGCCTCTCCCCTCTCGTTTCCGTTTTCTGCAGAACACTATCGAACCTATCACTGGGGGGTCTAGGGGGTATGGAATACCTCCCAGTATATACAAAAATCTTACTGTAATTAAAGGAAACATGGAATCATCCATATCCATGGAATGTGTTTCTGGGGGGTATTCCATACCCCCCAGACCCCCCGGTGTTATATTGTCCACCAAAACAGTCTGTCTCGCCCCTCTCGTTTCCGTTTTCTGCAGACCCCCCGATGTTACATTCTCCACCAAAACAGTCTTCCTCGCTGCTCTCGTTTCCGTTTTCTGCATAACACCATCGAACCTATAACTGGGGGGTCTAGGGAGTATGGAATACCTCCCAGTATAAACAAAAGTCTTACTGTAATTAAAGGCAACATTGAATCATTAAAATTTTGACCTCTAACCTCAAATATGACCTGCATTTCTAATTCTAGAGGACTTTTCCGCCCTGACTCGGCTTATACATTTTTCTTAATTAGAAAAGAAAGTCGTATAAAATTGTTTGTAATTCGGCCTCCTTATTTGCTGCGTATACTGCTAGAGTCGCTACTTCCAAATCAGAACGCTAAATTTAGGCTTGTAATTCCAATTTGGGGCCTTATACATTTTTTTTTAATTAAAAACGAGAGCTTATTACCGGCCTCCTAGGGACTCTCTAGGAACCTTCTGGGTTCCTTACGAGGACCCTTTAAAGCCTACTGAAGGCCGACTAAAGAGACTTTCTCCACAATCCCGGGATCCGGGAAAACATCATTTATATGCTTCGGGAGCCCTGGAGGAATTCTAAGGACTTTGCGGATACCATTGAGAGACCTAAAACAACTCAGCCGCCATGCGTATCCTAAAGATACCACTCACAAATTGAATTACCCTCAAAACCCCATGGAGGTCCTTGAGTAAACACTGTAGAGACTCTTGAGACTATGGAGGCCATCAGGAATTGAAAACCCTACTACACTATGTATAGAGATGTGGGTTTTGGGGACCCTAAGGGCTGTAAAGTGACCCTAAGGACTAAAGTTACTCTTGTAGTCATTAGAGGCATGAATGAGTTTCGCTTTTAGGGCTTTTTACAGTAGACGAGAGTTAACATATTTAGAAGAGTGGGTCAAATTGTATTGTAGGACGCCCCTGCAACACATCCAACGTAAAGCTTGCTATAACCGAAGGAGCTTAATACGAAAATGAAAGCTGCATCTCGCAAACGTTGTTCTAACAATATTGGCACGGAGAAGATGACAATCGATACTCGGCAAACGTTCGCTAAATCTCCCCTTCGCGTACGTGCATAAAGATTCCGCGATCGTACGCCGCCATTATGTATATATCATGCAATATGGTAGACGTTGTAAAAGTTTGATAAAGTGCGCCATTCCTCTTCCTTTCAAACGGCGCGTTAAGCCGAGTTCTTTGTAGTTTAAGCGCCGTAAAACTATGATAAACTTTTCGCAACTCTTGTTGTGTGTAATGGAAAACAAATTTGGGACAAGAGACGTCCATAAATCTAGCGGAAAGTTCTGTCACTTTTTCTGGACTGTTTTCAATATCAATTTCGGCTAAGCTAAGCAGTCCATTACTAACTTCGTATTATTCAAAAATTCAAATGTCGCGCCCAATTTCCTTCTAACGACCACTTAGGCTTGTGGGTTTCACTAAAGTTTCCACTCTCGTGCGGTTATGTAGTCCTGTTACTTCAATCTTAACTAGATTTTGTATCCTTTTCTGTGTTCCTGATTTTAACAATCTGAAGAGGTAGGTGTGTATCAGGATGACAGAGGAAGTGAGGTCTTGTTTTAAGCTTTTTCGTGTTCTGTAAGGAAAAAGTAATAACGAGCAACCAATTTTACACCGTCTTCTGTGATCCTGTTCTTGAATAAGGCTAGCGTAATATGCGAGAAGGGATTTAGTGAGCGATTTAGAGCCGCTTATGTATCTCTGATCGTCTAAACTCGTAGTTCTGTATCAGGGTAACAGCTTGTCATTGAGTTTGACCGTTTCTGTGATTCTGTTAC